TGATGGGTACTAAGGGTGGCGTTAATGCGACATCCCAAGTGTGACTCCGTACGGGGTTGGCCCGCAGGGAGGGGAGGCTGTGTGAGTGGTCACGGAGAGCTGGCTCTGTGGCTGACTGTGTCCTAAAGGGGACAGCGGTGGGGGGAGACATTGATGATGGGGGTGGTGGCTGTGGGGTGGGTGGTTTCTGTGGTGGAAGCCTTGCTGGCCTGACATAGAGAACATGGGGAATGATGGAAGTGGTAAATACGCGTCCCCAGTGGGCAGTTTTCCTAGGGCTCTTGTGTCCATTCTTCATTCACCTGGGAAATTCCTGCTTGGCCACTGAGGTTCCCTTCACGCCTTCCACCCTCAGGGGAATCATCACCTGCGTTGGTGACGCTGGGTTTCCCAGGCTCCTAACAGGTTCTCACTGGACCAAGCCACTCAGTCAACAGGATCAAGGCCTATAATAATCATTGCACCAGACCTGTGGCTGCACACGTTGGCCCCAGGAAGGAGAAGCGGCAGAATTTACGGACATCCCATGTGGGGACTTGGATGCAGAAGAGCCTTAGTTCCAGGGGGCCCAGGAAGTTTCTAAGAGAGTGCTTTTCAGATGTGGAAGGGGATCTGTCTGGGATCATGCCTGTGAAGTGACCGCTGGGGCCCCTGGAGCTGTGTTCTCCTCTGTACATTGCAGGGAGAACAGTATCTTCCCCTCAGGGTGTTTACAGGGTACACTGTGAGGGGCTTCACATAGGGCCTTGCACATACAATCAGTAGATGACATCTTTTACCATTGTTGTCATTAGGCAGCAGTGGTTCAGCCGATGCCTAATGCAGACGAATTACAGACTCTCAGCTGTGGACTCTGTCGAGTTGATAATATGTGTTATATTTGCCATACTGATAGAATAATTAAATTTTTCATTTAGCTGCCAAAAGTTGCCAAATTCAGAGATTTCACATAAAAATCTAGATTTCCAGTCTCTCTAGAAGAATGGAATACAGGGCACCTAGGTCCACATCTCCACACGGCAGCATTTGGCTGGACCTCCTTGGATGGAACATGGGCTCTCTGATTTGCCACAGTCTCCACAACTCCCTACTGTCCATCCCTCATCCTCAGTTTGGGGGTCCTGTTCCAGCCTCACCTCTGTGGACCGGTGCTTTCAGTGGCACATTATGCTCACTTGGCTTTCCTAGTGGCACCTTCTGAGCCATGGGACCACCCCATGGAACTCCTAGAGGGAGGGTCCTTGGTGTAATTAGATTTGATTTGGGTTGGCCAGTAACAGACCTAAACGTTAGCATGCACAGTGGAGAAAAGTTTAATTTTACTGCTCAGCACCAGAATTCCTCTGAGGGAGAGAAGCGTCTTGTTTGAAGAATCTGTTGAATGGGGTAGAAGTGAGACCCCAGAGTTTGCAGGTGTCTGATGTCAGCACTTGAAGGGGAGTTTTTTTTCCATGAGAAATGGAGTAATCTGATGTTTTGTCTCTGAAGAAGGGGGGAGAGGGGAAATAAAGGAGAGAGAAACTAGTGCGGGAGATGAAGCCAGGTGAGCCCAGATGGCCTCAGGGCCAGAGCGCCAAGGCCATTTGGGAATGGTGAAGTGCCTTTCAGTGTATGTCTGTTGCAGAGATGACCAGGCCCTCGTCAGTACTTCCTGTCTGTTCACTGCTGTGTTGTGAGATAAAGCTGTTTTTGGTTTTTGGTTTATTTTTGGAATTTGATGTGCAATTGGCCTGGGCTGCCTAGGATGGTCCATGTGGGAAGCTGGTACTACTAGAGAAGAGAGAGTGTGAGAACTGGTGTCCCGGGACCTGCAGGCACTGGGGAAAAGCTCTGGATGTCCAAACTGTGGAATTGCAGGTGGCTGCTTGGAAGGAAGTGGGACAGCCCATTCTACTAGGAACTTGGGGGACAGAAAAGTACCAATTGATATCTGGTAATAAAAAAAATGAACCCAGGTTTCCAGAAGGTACTGAGAGGGAAAAATAAAATATCTGAGTTTGGATTAAAATAGCTGAGCAGCCAGTTTATTTCAAGTTACTGGTGGAACTGGCTGATCAGGGCTGGTGGAGTCTGGACAGGGGCTCAGGCCTGGCCGCTTGGCCTGAAGAACGACCCTAGGAGCAGGGGCTCTCTGGCAGTGCACAGTAGACCAGCCAAGAGGGCCAGGCCCATTATGACCACAACAACCAGTGCCACATCCCACCAGACCCATGGGTAGGCCCAAGGTTTCTGTAGCTGCCAGCCGCAGTTGCCCAGCTCATAGCCTGTGAGCTGGCCCAGTGGGTGGAGGGCGGCATAGCTGGGGCTGGCACAGCGGACGTCCAGCAGGGCCTCTGGTGTGTGGTCCTCCAGCCAGAGGTGCAGGTAGGTGAGGCTGCAGTCACAGTGCCAGGGGTTCTGTGTCACGTCGAGTGTCTGCAGCTGGACCATGTGGTCGAAGGCGCCGGGAGGCACAGAACGCAGGCTATTGTTGGCCAGCAGGAGGTGGCGGGTGCGGGCTGGCAGGGCAGGCATGGATGTGAGCCCTCGGCCCCTGCAGTCCACCCACAGCCCCATGGTTTCCAGGGCCTGGCAGGTGCATGGTGCAGGGCAGTCCTTGGTGGCTTCTGCGGCAGCCCAGAGCAGGAACAGGACCCCCCAGGCAGGCATTGTGCAGGCTGGCTGTGGGGAGAGCGACTGTGAGGTGAGGGAGGGTCGGGTAGCCTGCACCCCATCCCAAGAACCAGCGGGTCCCATAGGAACCATGGTATCTGACCTGTGAAATTGCAACTGTGAAGACGGAAGGAACTGAACTGTGCCCAACTTAGGCCTGGCTGACCCTCACTGAACACTCGGAAGGCAAGACAGTAGGGGAGGGAGCAGGGGTGACTTCGGAAGAGGACAGGACTTCAGGAGGTGGGGGAGCAGGTCCCTGCTCCGTGGTTTACAGTCCTGGTCCTCCACCCCCGTAGGGCTGGGAAAGGCTGCTCCCAGCCTCCCTGCCTAAGCCTGGGGTTAGGCCAAAGGTGTGGCCTTCATAGACCACACCTCACCCCACCAATTCCAAACAGCTCGCCATGATGAAGTGAACCCTTATGTGGTACTTGATGTAGAAACCAGCACAAGGATACTGAGGTGGGGGGCGGGAAGGGAACCCAGAAAGAACTCCCTCTGCAAGCCCCTCAGCCAGGCTTGGGGAAACTGAGGCCCAGAGACAAGAGAGATTTGTGCAGGGTCACACAGTAGCCTGTGTCAGAAACCAGACTCCAACTCAGGTCTCATGAGCCCCAGTTTCCTGCCTGATTCACTGCCTTGCCTCCACAACTGTTTCCCCCGCTTTCGAAGGCAAGCTCTTTCCAACCCCCAGGGCCTGGCACATGGCAGACTTCCAATGACTATTCGTTGAACAAACCAGTGAATCTTGACTTAGCCAAGGAGCAGGTGTCTCAGAGTGAATGCCCCCACCCAACCCCATCTTCTAGAAGGGAGAGCAAAAGTGGGCATAGAAATAAGAATTGACAGCCCGTCTCCTCACCACCTGGGGGAACCCCTGGTGTGGGAGGCAGTGCTGGGTAATAAGGGAGGCTTCTTACCTTCCAGGCCTGCAGTCCAGTTCCCCTTTCTGTGACCTGAACTGTCCTGGTTGAGGCTGAGGTGGCAGTTCTATGTAAATAGCTGATGGTGGCCACTGCTTGAGAGGGAGGAAGGAAGTGATAAAAATAGCCTGGCTTATCCCCTGCAGGCAGCCCTGGAGGGGCTATCTCCAGAGGCAGGGGGGCCTGGGGTCCTAGTGCCCTGGGCACAGAAGCATAGGTCAACTTGAGTGTGCAGAAGGGGTCCCATAGTGCATCCCACTGTACCACCAGTGCCCCAAAGAGCCTTCGTGCAGGGTCTGGGGGAGGACCAAGGAGACCCTACTTCTGCACCCAGGCAGTGGGGAGGGCTTCTAGGAGGAGGAGACCCTGGAAATGAGTGGCTCTGTTGGTTGGTCCATTAAATCTCAGTTTTCCTTATCTGGACAATGGGAGCAATAAACCTTGTCCTATTTGCCTCAGAGATGTGGTTTGGGCAGCAACCATGGGCAGGTCAAGAATTCTATTCGGGAGGATGATTTAGTTAGTGTTAATAAACTGAGTTTATTAAGCAGGTGATTTAGTTTCTATAAACAGAGCTCTTGCCAGAGAGGCCCGGGAGTGGAACCCAGAGTGGGGGCCTGCTGAGCAGAAGAAGGGGTCCTTCTGGCTATCTCCCATGGTGATGGCCAGTGTCAGCCAAAAATGCCAAACTCAAGAAGAGGGGCCTGGGCTCCCAGCCTAAAGGCACTTAGAATGGTTTAGGGCTGGAGGGGGAAACTGAGGTGCAGAGCATCTGTGCTGCCAACTGAGGCCACACGGAGCTTGAGCAGGGCCAGCTGCTACCCCACCCAGGATGGGGGAAACCTGAAAGTTCTACAACGGATGTTTGTTTTTAAAGCAGGGTGACAACACTAGAAGTTACAGGGCAAGGAAAGTCAAGGGCAAAGGGCTGTGGAGTGCTTAAACACTCCATTTATACACTAAACCCACAGGAATATTCCTTATGTTTGCAACCCAGTGTGGTTTTTTAATCTTCTTTTTTTAAAATATATTTTATTGATTTTTTACAGAGAGGAGGGGAGAGGGATAGAGAGTTAGAAACATCGATGAGAGAGAAACGTCAATCAGCTGCTTCCTGCACACTCCCCACTGGGGATGTGCCCGCAACCAAGGTACATGCCCTTGACCGGAATCGAACCTGGGACCCTTCAGTCCGCAGGCCGACGCTCTATCCACTGAGCCAAACCAGCCAGGGCGGTTTTTTAATCTTCTAAAGCATTCTGCAACTCCTAGCCCTCTTCAATGAATGGAGTTGATATCATTCATTTGTGTGTTTATCATATGCTTCTCTCCACCAGGATGTCTGCTCCCTGAGAGATGGAGCCTTATCCACCCTCTTTGTGGTCAAAGCCATGGTTGACTAGCCCAGTGTCTGCACATTCAGGTCCTGAATTAGTTTGTGCTGGGTAATTGCACGAGTGAATGAATGGTTTACTTATACAAGATTTGATTGGCAGGGAGGAATCCCGGTCCTTTCTGAATTCTGACCCCCCTTTTGTGCAGGTGTTCGGAGGGGAGGCCTGGCTAGCTAAGCTTCTCTGGACACCTATCACAGTGGCAGCTGTCAGCAATCTTCTGCTCCAGAACACCTGGGAATTTAAAAAATGTGTATTGAATTTATTGGAATGACACCCATCAATAAAATCACAGAGGTTTCAAGTGCACAACTCCACAACACATCATCTGTGTGCCGCAAGTCCAGTCTCCGCACGCCCACCATTTATCCCTGACTACCTTCTTCTGTGTGCCCTCCTCTCCTTTCCCTCCGTAATCACCACACAGTTGTCTGTGTCTGTGAGTGTGTGTTTTTCTTAATCCTGTCACCTTTTTTTTTACCCAGCACCTCAAAATCCCTCCCCTCTGATAGCTGTCAGTCTGTTCTCTGTTTTTTTGTTTTTTTGTTTTTTTTTGTTTTTGTTTTTTTTTTGTTCATTAGATTCCACACGTAAGTGAAATCATATGGTACTTGTCTTTGTCTGACTGGCTTATTTTGCTTAGCATAATACTCTCCAGGTCCATCCAAGCTGTCGCAAAAAATAAGACTTTATTCTTGTGCATGACTGAGTAGTATTTCATTGTGTATATGTACCACTGTTTTTTGTCCACTCATTTATTAATGGGCACTTGAGTTGTTTCCATATATTGGGTCTTGTAAATAATGCTGCAGTGAACAGAGAAGTGCATATATTCTCTGGAATCAGTGTTTTGGGTTTCTTTGGATATATTCCCAGAAGAGGAATCTTTGGATAATAAAGCAGTTCCACTTTAAATATTTTTTGCCTCTTTTTGAATGCCTTTTTTTGGTAAATTGTTTTAATTTTTTAAAATTTATTTTAATTGTTGGGAGTATGACAGATGTCCCCCATTTTCCCCACTTTTCCTCCAACCACCTGGCTCCTGTCCCACCCCACACCTTCACCTCACTATTGCCTGTGTCAATGGGCTATGCATATCTATATATATATAAGGCTAATATGCTAAGTGTTGACCATCCAACTGGTTGCTATGATGCACACTGACCACCAGGGGACAGAGCTCCGACTGGTAGGGGAGCTTGCTGCTGGGGTCTGGCCGATCGGGACTGAGCAAGACAGGGTGGATACACCCTGGAACCCTCCCATGGTCCTTCCCCAGCTGGCCAACTTCCTGCATTCCTCCCTGGCCCCAATCATGCACCAGTGGGGTCCCTCTCACAATCCGGGATCCCTTGGGGGATGTCAGAGAGCCAGTTTCAGCTCCATCCCACAGGCCAGGCTGTGGGACCCCATAGGTGCATGAATTTGTGCACCAGGCCTCTAATATTTAAATAAATATACAGGTGATCTTAGTGGAGAAATGCTGGTATCTTCTGTGAAATATTATAATATACTGCTTTATACTCAGAAAGCAGGTTGGAACATTCATTATATACTTGTAATTATAGTTTGTACTAAAAAGAGTTTGCCAAAATCTCACTTGGTAATGATTAAATTTAAGAGGGTTCTAACATGTCACTACAGGTTTTACAATGCTTTATCATTGAAACACTAAAATTAAATTGTTCTAGATTGAGTTTGCTAGTAGTATTTACAAATGTATTGATTATACATTATTTCATGGACTAATACATGAATTATCTATTGGAAATTTGTTTTAGCATTTGAAGGAATATACCGGTTCTGGGTGGGTTTCAGATACAGGTTGTTGTCAGACTGTGTGTAACTGACCTTGGGCTTCCTGTGTGTAGTTACCACTCTGTTTTCTGTTTGTGTCTGCATCTGCTAGACCTCTGTATTCATGGGAGGGACCAAACTGTGTAGGGTTGGTTTCATCTAGCTTAGATCTGGGGGCAGATCAGTGGTCAAACTGAGGCTCCCTGAGGTCCACCTCCACCTGTCAACTACTCTGCCCCCCCTCCCCCCCATTGATTGGTTGCCTTCCGCATGCCCCCGACCAGGGCCAGGAGCCTTCAACAGATGTACATGCCCTTGACTGGAATCGAACCCGAGACCCTTTAGTCTGCAGGCCAACACTCTATCTGCTGACCCAAACCGGCTAGGGCAAAATATATTTTTTACAGATTTTTTTTTTAATCCTCATTCGAGGATATTTTTCCATTGATTTTTTAAAATAAGATACCATTAAGTCCCTCTCCCCTTTTAAATATATTTTTTGATTTCATAGAAATATCAATGATGAGAGAGAATCATTGATTGGCTGCCTCCTGCACGCCCCCTACTAGGGATCAAGCCCGCAACCTGGGCATGTGCCCTTGATTAGAATCCAACCTGGGACCCTTCTGTCCACAGGCTGATTCCATCCACTGAGCCAAACCAGTTAGGGCCCATTGATTTTATTTTAGAGAGAGTGGAAGAGAGAGGGAAAGATGGAGAGAAATATTGATGTGAGAGAAACACATCAATTGGTTCCCTCATGTATGCACCCTGACCAGGGCCTGGGCCAGGGAGGAGCCTGCAACCCAGGTACGTGCCCTTGAACGGAATCAAACCTGGGACCTTTCAGTCCACAGGCTGATGCTCTATCTATCCACTGAGCCAAACCAGCTATGGTGCTAAATATTTATTTTTTTTTTTTAAGAAAAAATATCGAGTGAGGAGTAACAAAAAAAATTTTTTAAAAATGAAATGGTATGAACCTTTAAATACCTAATAACTTCAAAATAGAAACCCGCCCTGGCCAGGTAGCTCAGTTGGTTAGTCCATACACCAAGGTTGCATGTTCGATTTTGGTCAGAGCACGTACAAAAAGCAACCAATAAATGCATAAATAAGTGTAACAACAAATCGATGTCCCTCCCCCCTTCTCTCAAATCAATAAAAAAAATTAAAACAAAAACAATGACAAAGCCAAAATTCTGATGCGAGACTCACATGCCTCTCAGAGAACATCAGATAAAGAACATGTTAAAAATAAGGGCATAGAGGACATAAATTCGATATATCACCTACAGCTGATGTCCTGATTAGTGAAAGACCAAATGCTATTTGTTGTTTTTACTGTGTGAAGTATTTACCATGTGCATGCATGTTTAAAAAGAAAGAAAATTGCCTCCATTTTTAAAAAGGTAAAAAACCACAACCTGACACCTCTCAATTTCAGCTGTCAATACTCTTTGGCACCCCAATGATATTAAACAAGAAAGAGACTTGCTCTTTCCAAACACAGCCAGAAGTGTCCCAATAAAAGATAAAATTATCTTCCTTGTGGTACACATCATAGATAACTCATCTGTTCAGAAGGTCAACACTAGGCAGATGGGTTTTATCGGGGTTTGGCAAGAAAGAAAACTACATGAATACAGACAGACCTTGTTTCATTGTGCTTTACTTTATTGTTCTTCAGAGATGTTGCATTTTTTACAAATTGAAAGCAAGACCCTTCACCAGCAATAAGATAACGACTCACTCTTCTTGTGGTTGCAAAGGGTGAGGAGAGAGAGCACCCCTAGAGCTATGTCTGTAGACATTATAATCTTGGCACAGCTCAAGGGCTTCCTGTAGAAACTGGCAGAGATGCTACACTGATGCAGGGTGCCAGCCAGCCTCCTCCTGATTTGCTCTCAAAGATGGAACTGTTACGTCATTAGGTTCATTCTCACCAGAACCAGAGGAAAATGTCCAGGAGAGCAGATTAGTATAATGAAGGTGATTACTTGTACTATTGCTGCAATGGTAAAAATACATCTTTTCCACCAATGTTCTAATAACATACCTTTTTCAATAGACTTTGCCTACTTATATAGGGCATTTCATTCAACATTCAACAAATACTTATTGAGCAGCTACTATGTGCTAGGTGCGGGGTACAGCTGTAAATAAGATAAAATCCTTGGTCCTAATAGAGTCGTCAGCTGGAGGAAAAAGAATTAACAAAGAGACAATCAAATGTTATGAAGAAAACAGAATGAGCCCCGGCCAGATAGCTCAGTTGGTTAAAGCATCATCCTGATACATCAAGGTTGTGGGTTTGACCTTCATCAGGGCACATACAAGAGCCAACCAATGAATGCATAAATAAGTGGAATAACAAATCAATGTTTGCTTGTTTTTTCTATTTCTCTCAAATAAAAAAAAAAAAAGAAAACAGATGATAAAATGGAGCTAAGGGTGCCAGATACAATGCAAGACACCTCATTCAACGTGAATTTTAGGTAAACCATGGATGGTTATTTTAGTATAAATATGTTCCATACAACATCTTTACTAAAAATTATGCATTGCTTTTCTGAAATTCACATTGAACTGGGTGTCCTGTATTTCATTTTCTAAGCCTGGCAACCCTAAATGTCATGCTATTGGGTGGTGGAGGGTGGATAATGTCAAGACAGGTGGAAGGCCTCTTTGAGGAGGTGACATTTGAACTGGAATCCGAATGTACAGAGGGAGCCAGTCATTCAGGGATCTAGAAAAAGAGCATTTTAGGCAGAGGGAAGAGCAAGTATGAATGCTCTACGGTGGAAATAAGCTTGGAGCTTGGAAGAACAGAAAGGAAGGAAGAGTAGCTGAGCTGTGAGAGGCTGAAGGGGAGGAAGGAGGAAGGTGATGAGGTCAGGCAGGTTGGCAGGGGTCAAATCTTGTAGGGTTGTGGCTATAATAAGATGAGTACTTTTACCAAAACTTATGTCCATAACCTTTTCATTCAAGAACATCAACTTTTTACATTTTATCCATAGGAATTGCTTTTACCTGTGACAGAGTGCTGTCAAAGATAAGCAGAGCCAAAGATTGATAAGGCTGTGCAAACAGATTTTCTTCAGTAACTACTGACAGTAGGGGAGAAAGCTGAGCTCCATTCTGACTTGTGCAGAGCTGACTGGACATTTTAAAGGGAGAATGAGGGAGTAAGGGAATGAGCAGGGGCTCAAGTGAAAAGTTACAAAGGGCTGATCAACATATAAGTGATTAGACCAGCCTTAGCCAGTTTGGCTCAGTGGATACTTTGTGCTGTGGACTGAAGGGTCCCAGGTTTGATTCTGGTCAAGGGCACATAGCTCGGTTGCAGGCTTGATCCCATGTCCCTGGTCGGGGCACGAGCAGGAGGCAACCAATAGGTATGTCTCTCTCACAATCATGTTTCTCCCCCTCCCTTCTACTCCCTCTAAAAATCAATGGGGAAAGCCTCAGGTGAGGATGATCTAAAAATGAAGTGCGCCCTAACTGGTTTGGCTCAGTGGATAGAGCGTCAGTCTGCGGACTCAAGGGTCCCGGGTTCGATTCCCATCAAGGGCATGTACCTTGGTTGTACTCCAGTGGGGAGTGTGCAGGAGGCAGCTGATGGATGTTTCTCTCTCATCGATGTTTCTAACTCTCTATCCCTCTCTCTTCCTCTTTGTAAAAAAAATCAATAAAATATATTACAAATAAAATAAAATAAAAATGAAGAGCCTGCTCCCTTAAAAAAAAAAAGTGACTAGGCCAGCTGTGTCTGCTAGCTAGCATTTTCCTAAGTTAGGCTTCCAGGGGAGCTACCTTCCTGATGATTCGATTTCAAAGGATTGGCTTTCAGGCCCTTAGGAAGGACACTCCTGAATTGTGGAAGACACATACACATTCTCAAAGGGACAGAGGAAAAGTTTACAGTTGTAAGCCCTTTTTATCAAATGCTCTAAGAAAGGGTAGTTGGGGCCTATCCTCCGTTGTTGGCTAGAAAAACAGTAAATTCTCCTGGCAGCATTGAACAACCTGTGCTTCACTTGTCCTAGGGAAATGGCCTTATGCTACTAGAAGCCATGTTAGAGTTTGATCCTCTTTTAGGGCAGAGGTTTAGACAGTTATTCATCATGTGCTGAGAACTGAATGCACAGAGGGAGCCAGTCATTCAGAGATCTAGAAGAAGATCATTTCTCAGTGTCTGTATAATTTTGTGTTCTTATATTTGTTTCCTCGAATGATGACCAAATAGTGTGCCCTTCAGTCCTAGGAGTAGCAAACTAGCAATTCTAAGAGATGGGCTCTGAGTGGAGACAGCTGGGCCTGTTGAGGGAGGAGGCCAAAACTGAAGGCTTGGATTTCCATAAGTCTCCATCGGGTCCTCTCTTTCTTACACTTAAGGTATCATAAAATCCTAAGGGCTCTACTTCCAAGATATATCCTGAAGCTGTCCACTTCTCTCCATATTCATGCTACACACCCTAGTTCAGGCCATAACATCTTCCTGGATGTCTCCAGCAGCCTTCTCACTGGTCTCCCTGCTTCATTCCCCCCCCACCCCCATACAGTCCATTCTCCAAGCAGCAACTGGTGGGCCTTTTAAAATATAAATGTGGTGGTCATGCACTTAAGACATAGTTCAAACACTGGCTTATGAGGCCTACATCATCTGGCCCAGGCTGGCCTAATTTCATCTTGTAACAGGCTCCACTTCATTAAGCCCCAGTCTTACTCCTGACACAGAGCCTTTGCTACTGACATCCCCTCCTCCTGAAATGCTCTCCAGGCTGATTTACACGCACCTGTCTCCTTGTTGAAACTCGAGCCAATTTTCACCTGTTCAGAGCCCTTCTAGGACCCTCCCATTGACCTTCCAAGTCACTGCCTGTCATATCATTCTGGTTTTAATTTTATCCTCATAGCACTCATATGAAATTATCTTGTTTATTCTGTTTCAAGCTACATGTCTGAGTTGCTATGGACATGACTTTGGGCAGTTCGTTCAAGACTTACTTCGTGCTTGACATCAAGCCCTGACACCAAAATAGATCACAATCCAGCAGCCACTCACTGAATTTGTGCTTATTTCAGGAAAATGGGGATTGTGAAGCCCGTTAGAACCGCCTGAACCGAGGGCATTGTCGCTTGTGACGTCAGCGCAAACACAGAGCCCGGGCATGCAAATCAGAGATTGGTCCTTCGAATTTGGGTGGGCGGGGTCCCACCCCTGGCCCCGCCCCCTGCCTCTACCCTGTTCACGCATGCGCCCAGACCACAGCCTCGCCGCCGCGCCATTTTGCCGGGTTTGAATGTGAGGTGGAACGGCGGCAGGAGTGGGTAGTACGGCTGCAGTCCGCGGCCGAGATTTTCTTCTCTGATCCCGTATTTCCACCAGGTAAGGCCGGGGCGTGCACGGCCTGGCAGGGTGGCCTCTGGGAATCCCGCTGGGGAAGGGCTGAGGCACTCCCTGCATTCCCGAGCGCTGGGGAGCAAGGACCGCGCCTCTGGGAGAGAGCGGAATGTGGGCCTGTGTGCCGGGCAGAGCCCTGGAACAAGGTCTTTGCCTTCGCTCACCGGCCTCGCCTCGTCTCGTCTCGCGCTGTCTCAGGTCTGAGGCTCGCCGGGCCTGTAGCGGGTCGAGGGCAGCCGCGGCGCGGCCTAACGCGCCCGAGCGCCCGCCCCTTCCCCTTTAGCGCCGTTCTGATTGGCTGCGCCGCCGCGTGTCGCTCGGGAAGACCGCCTCTCATTGGTCATGGCCGCGCGTCCGTTCTCGGGGCCCGGTCACCCGCAACGTGGGTGGAGTGGCGCGGCAAGGCCTGTCTGGCTGCACGGCGGAGGATGCCGACCGCCCCTTCCGTGGACTCACCTTCCTAAGGAGGAGTGTGCTTCGTTCTCTCCGACTGTAAAATGGGCATGGTGATCTCACTCTGCTGAGTTGTTTGTCAGGATTAAATTCTAGTCCATGTACCTGCCCTGTAATATGGGATACCCCTCTTGGGGGAAACGCGATATGGCTTGGTAATTCGGAGCATGGGCTTTGGAATTAGAACGCCCGGGTTCGTTCTAAGATTTAAGCCTCCCCCTAGGAGCGTAGCCTAGGGCTGAGCCTCCATTTCCTTATCTGCAAAATGGGATTGAAAACAGTCTGCCTGGTAAAGTGGCTGTGAGGATCCACTGAGTTCTTACCGCGCTTTACAGTCCCATCTCATTGTCTACCTCCCCCACCCATCTTTCCTCGTTAGCCACGGTAGACATACTGACCTGCCTTTCTTTTTTCTTAAATGTTCCAAGCTCATGCCCATTATAGAGCATTTGGACGTGCCTTTCATTTGCGTGGAAATGACCAACATCAGACCTTTGCAAGGCTGGCTCCCTATCCTTCAAGTTTTACTCACCTTAGTTAGACCTTCTTTGACCAACCTCTGCTCAACTCTTCATCACTTCGCACTAGTTTTAATATACTTCATGCATCGATCGTCATCTATAATCACTTAATAGTTGACTTGTTTATTGTCTGTCTTGACTGCTAAAATGTAAACTTGGAGAGAAAAGGGCCTTGCTTTTGCCTGTCTTGTTCACTGCTGTGTCCAAGTGGCCAGGGCTTGCCACCCGCCAGGTGCACAATTATTATTCCTTGGAGGTACAGAAGGGGATTTTTTTACTCTTGGATCTCACCAGTGTTCATTTTCTCTTTTCTTTGGATCCCCATACTGGGATTTTTGGCCCTTTTTTCTTTTTTACCCTTTTTATTGAATGTATTGAGGTGACACTGGCTAACAAAATTATACAGGTTTCAGGTGCACAGTTCTACAACACATCATCTGTACACTGTTTGGCCCCTTTTTTGTGTTTCCATTTTTTTTTTTTTTTTGCATAATTCACTTCTTTCCATCAGTGCAAGGGAATTCTCTCCCTTTATGATTACTTTGATTTCTGCTAGTTGGGGGCTGGAACAGAGGGAAACCATTTTCTGTACAGGATTAGATGGGTTGGAGAGCACTGCTCTAGTTTTGGAATTAATTTGTTCCTTTTAAACTTCATTGAGCTTTAAACTTATAAAATTCTAGGATCTATGTAGTATTTTAACTTTCAGCGATTGTAGCATGCATATTTATGAATATTATTTGCCTGTTAATCTCTGAGATAACAGTGAAGAAGCAAAAATGGACAAGGTTCCGTCCCTTGGGTAGCTTATGTTTGGGGAGGGAGGGACAACAATACAGATAAATGAATTAGATAGTTTCAGATAGGGACAAGTAACAGGTGATTTGATGATGAAGAAGGCTTCTCTGAGGAGGTGACATTTGAGCTGAGACCAGCCATGGAAAGGTGAGGGGACAGACATTCCAGGCAGAGGGAATAGAAAGTACAAGAGCTTAAGGACAGGAACAAGCTTGGAATAATGGGATATTAGGAAAATGCAGCTTGCTAGAGTAGTGTGTGAAGAAGAGGGAGGTATCCAGGGAACAGGTCACATAGGGCTTTGTAGGCAATTTAAAGAGTTTAGATTTGATGCTAAGGTGTGTGGTCCTGTGAGCAGAAAGCAGAGGGTGGAGAGATGTTGGGTTATGTTCTTTTTTTTTTCCTTTTTCTTTTTAATGCATTTTTTTTTATTTCAGAGAGGAAGGGAGAGGGAGAGAGAGATGTAGAAACATCAATGATTAGAGAGAATCATTGATTGGCTGCCTCCTGCACACTCCCTATGAGGGATTGAGCTGCAACCCAGGCAGGTGCCCTTGACCAGAATCAAACCCGAGACTCTTCAGTCTGCAGGGTAACACTCTATCCACTGAGCCAAACCGTCTAGGATTGGGTTATGTTCTTAATGTATGTGTGCCAGATAGTTTTCATACATTGGATCTCTTTTCCTTTCTCCAGATGTAAGGCATTAGGAATGGTTCTCTAATGTGGAGGAAGTATCTAAAGAAAAGGATTAGCTTATGTCATAGATGTCTGTGAGATGGCATTGGAAAGCAAAGCTTTTATTCCAAAAGTCTTCATCTATACCTGAGGGCCTGTGGGAAGAGGCAAGACTTAGCTACAGCCATTCAACAGGAAAAGCTTAGAATTTAGATAAATCTGTCGTAATTGATTTGTTGTGGTACATGTTTTTTATTTTTCTGTGTGTGTGTGTGTGTGTGTGTGTGTGTGTATTGGTAGGGATTTCCAAAGATAGCTTTGTGGTGAAAGTTCAGTATCATCCATCATTTAAAGACAAAATAATGAATTTTCCATTTCTAGTTTGAGTCTTTATTTTAAAATCAATAACACTTTACATTTATATATTTAATATATAATATATATATATAATTCTGGTTTCTCTTCAGATCGTATATTTAATATTTTAAAGTGTCAAAGTACCTTCATCTGTGGTCAAATAAGAACTTAATTAGACCTGGATCTTGCCGATTTTGTGAATACCTGTGGAGTATTCTCTAAAATTACCTGGTTTGTCATGCTTTCCCAAATCGGGGCTAAGCTTACAATTTGGTTTTATAGACATTATCACTAAGGAGATATAAAAAGGGTTTGTTGACAAATATTTAGTCCCTTATCTAACATTAAAATTCTAGGACCTATGTAATATTTTAACTTTCAGAGATTGTAGCATGCATATTTATGAAACATCATCCTCCTCATACACACACACACTTTTTTTCCCCAAAATGCTTTTTTTTAAAACTTAAAAATAGTTTTATCCTAGCACCTCAACTTTGTCATTTTAGGGTTATTCTATCACGTGGCCTTAGAATCAGTTGTCTCCTCTTCTTCCTGTTTGTCACAATTGACCAGAATAAATGTGAAAAATCATAATGCTTTTGATGGAAAAATCAATCAAGGGCGTATAGCTTTTGAAAATAGTACAACCAATATGTAGTAGGTGCTCATCATTATTGTAAAGCACTAGAGAGATTGCAGTGAACAAAACACAAAGTTCCTACTCATGGAAGGAGAGGCATAGTAAACAAGAAAGCAAATTAATGTGCCTGATAAAATTATTTAGAAAAATAGAGTAAGGGAATGGAGATTGGGTGAGTGCTCTCTTAGAGAGGACAGCCCAAGAAGGTGTCTCTGAAAAGAGATGACATTTGAAAAGGGACCTGAATGAAGTGGCCAGTGAGCCATGCAGCTCTCCAGGGACAGAGCTGTCAGGCAAATGGGACAGTAAGTGCAAAGCCCTGAGGCAAAAATATAAGCACTGCCATATATGAACAGTAATAGAGGACAGATTTCAAATTCACTTTTTTTTTAAAATTCTTACCCAAGGATATTTTTTTCATTATTTTAATTTTTTAAAATGTATTTTTATTGCCCTAGCCGGTTTGGCTCAGTGGATAGAGCATTGGCCTGCGGACTCAAGGGTCCCAGGTTCGATTCTGGTCAAGGGCATGTACCTTGATTGCGGGCACATACCCAGTAGGGAGTGTGCAGGAGGCAGCTGATGGATGTTTCTCTCTCATCGATGTTTCTAACTCTCTATCCCTCTCCCTTCCTCTCTGTAAAAAATCAATAAAATATATTTAAATTAAAAAAATACATATATTTTTATTAGTTTCAGAGAGAGGGAGAGAGAGACAGAAACATCAATGATAGAGAATCATCGATCTGCTGCCTCCTACACCCCCTACTGGGGAATCAAGCCTGCAACACATGCATGTGCCCTGACTGGGAATCTAACCGTGATCTGTCTGGTTCATGGGTCAACGTCCAACCACTGAGAGACACCAGCTGGACTCCATTGATTTTTAGAGTGGAAGGGAGAGGGAGAGACAGAAAAACTTCCAGGGAGATGGGGATCAGGCCTGCAACTGAGGTATGTGGCCTTGACTGTAATTGAACCTGGGACCCTTCGTTATGAGGGCTGATGCTCTATCCACTGAGCCAAACCAGGTGGGGCTCACTTCTTTCTTGAAAGCTCTTTTGAATAAACAGAAATTAATTATGAGAGCAAGTTGGTCATTTCTTTTTTAAAAATATATTTTATTGATTTTTTACAGAGAGGAAGGGAGAGAGACAGAGAGCCAGAAACATCGATGAGAGAGAAACATCGACCAGCCGCCTCCCGCACACTCCCCACCGGGGATATGCCCGCAACCAAGGCACATGCCCCTGACCGGAATCGAACCCGGGACCCTTGAGTTCGCAGGCCGATGCTCCATCCACTGAGCCAAATCGGTCAGGGCAGTTGGTCATTTCTTTATCTGACATGTAACTGAGTTCCTGCATTCTGTTGGGGCTGTTAGTAGCTGATCCCAGAATAGTCTCTAGTTCAGAATGGGATTTATGTTTTAGCTGGCTGGCTGACATTGCCTCATTCGTTAGTTCATGCATCAAATGCTCATTTGTTAGTTCATGCATCAAATGCTTACTGAATGTCTACTATGTGCCAGGCAATGTTGAAGGTCCTGGGCATATAGAGACAAAAATATACAAAGTCCCTGTCCTAAGGACTTTAACAGAAAATAAGTCAAAGATACTTCAGATGATGATTAATGCTGTTAATAGTATAACAAGGATAAGGTACATAATAGGTGAGGAAGACCCTTTTGAAGAGTTAATAGCTGACAGTTGAATGATACTCGATATCAAATTAGAAGGAAGAGCAGTATTACAGGCACAGAGAAGTGTCTTTGCTGGTTCAAGA